AAAAAAACAAAAAACAGTTCTCACCTCTGCACTGATCATCTGTGACATAAAAATAAAACATCCATTGTTACATTGTAGTTTCCTGATAATTGACGAACTTCCTTTCTCAGGAATAATTGTATGTAAAATTAGGTCTTCTATGAATGCAGTGTCTACTGTACATGTGCAATGTATCATTGAAGTTAACTCCATTAGTTCCTATAGAGCATACATGTAAGACAACAGATTTCATATACAGTACATGTTGTTATAACATGAAAAAGTGGGAGGTACAGAGATCTCCAAGTCACATCTTTGGTAATGTTAAACAGGAGTAGTATTTAGGAATTTTTTTAGAAAGGCAAATTAATGCCCTTTAAGGTAGAATACAAGCCATCAAGGTAACATTGGCATTCAGTTGGTGCTTGAATCATGGTACATGTATGATGAAAACAAAAATACTGGTAACTTTGGTAACTGTAAGTCTACTGAAGACCACTCTTCAGCAATTTGACAGGTTTCCCTAAGTATTTATCAGTCTGTGTGGAGTTACAGCAGTAAGGAAAAGGTATTTATTCTGCATACAAGCCAAGTGACCCATCAGGTCAGAGCTTATCATGGTAGCATGAAGCAACTAGGTTCACCAGTACCCATTTGTACACCTGGGCAGAGAGAGGCACTGTGAGAGTAAATTGCCTCGCCCAAGAACACAACACAATGTCCCCGCCTAGGGTTTGAACCCAGACTGCTTGATCCAGAGTCATGTGCACTAAAAATGAGGCCACTGCACCTCACACAAATTTAATGCTGGGGGGTAACCCTGCGATGGATGGACTAGTCTGTGTGGGGACACTTCTTGGTAGCTAAACACCAACCTTTACTTCCTCATCTTGCTTCATTATCTTCTTGATTCTTGCCAGTGGTAACTCTTGAATTTTAAAGTCATTCTAGAGAGAAAAAGAGAAATACAATGCAGCTACTGTCTACTGTAATGCTGACTCTGGAAGCCGGCTCAGTGAACCAAATCTTGTGCTGTGATTGGGTACACCAGTGAGCAAAATGGGGCCATCTTGCCCACTCAGGATTACCTGCTGTTTCTCACAGGAAAATGGTGCCTTGTTTGCCATAATATGAAAAATCCATTATCAACCTAGCTTGTTCATTCAAGATGGCTGCATATTGGCCTCAATCTCTTTCTCTTTTTTTTGCATTTTTGGATGTCTCAGTCTATAGATCATTTCATGTGACGTCATCACTTTTTAAAATCCAAAACTAAAGAGCCACCAAAGTTTTTATCCTCGTCAGGCATAAGAGACGGTATATTTATATCTGTTTACAATTTTACAGCTCAATAGTGCGCTTCATTTGGAATCCAGAGCATTTTGAATTTCAGGATTATGGAGGTGCGTGACACAAGGCTTACGATCGAGTTTGTCAAAAAATATATACTGATCTCATGATTTTGAGCCGTTTTAGAAGTTAGAGCATTATGAAAAGTGCTTATGTAAATGCTTGTTTGATCAGTACTGATAATCAATCACCTAGACAGGCAAAGTAAGTTCCAGATGTTTACACCATTTTCTGACCGCCATATCGGTGTACCATGGAGGCACACCAACATGGTGTTTTCATACTGGACTCTGTAAATATCTGCGAAATATTTCGACGAATATCTGAAGTTTGGGGAAACGCACATGCCTAAAACTTGGAGAAGTGTCTTATTTAGTTATCTTCTATAACATCATAATTTCATAGTTTTTTCCACTAGATGGTTTTCGATTTATTTTTTTGTTGCGTGACAGTGAAAACGATCTATAGCCATCAAAAAAGGATCTTGGCCAAACTCTAGCCATCTTGACTGAAATCAAAAAGCTTGGTCAATAAACCATATGTATGTGAAATTAAATCCCTGACACCTCTTAACATAGTCAATGTACTTACAGTGCTCATATTTCTGATCTCTTGCATTTGACGAGGCCAGAAAGTGGCCAGAAGTTGAGCGGCCTCAGACTGACCCTGTGAAGAACAAATCATTCAGAATTACACACAATTCATTTGGTGCCGAACCTCTTATGTTACTACATGTACCAGACTTACCAGCAAAGTTTAAGCCTTAAATTTCCACCAGGTGCAGTGGATTTGTCTGGAGAACAACAAAATCACACCAACAAACATACAGGAACTCATACACGAGGCTATACGATTTTGATATGGGATGCAATGTTAAACAGCGAGATGAGGACCGCAAATAATGACACAAGTTGTGTTGAAATTAAATCAGCCGTGAGA